ATAAACCATTAGCACAATAGGTGCGCTAGGCCTTTTTCGGTGCTTACCATGCATCCCCCCAACTGAACCCACACTCCGTGTCATTGCTGTGCACTTAGTGGCTATTAAAAAGAGGAAAAGTGCAACCTTTGAGCGTTGCCCACCTGTACCTTTAAAAGGTGTGAGTAGGATTCTTACTCTAAACCCTAGAATGGGGTTGGCATTCTTACCCAAAAGGAGAAGGTGTGTTGATGTCTTCCAGGTTAGGTTAAAGTAAGGAACCAAAAGTAGATGGCAGAGAGGCGCCCCCATCCATACCTGTGGAGCTCCGTAGATGTATAACACCAGAGGTTCGTTTTCAGGGATGACAAACCAGCCTTTGTGCCAAGCCTTCCCTCCTTTCTCCATGTAGTGCAAGAAACTGCAGATCACACTATTCTCTGCCACCACGGAGGCCTGTTTCTGCAAGAAGACCGGAAAAGTAAGTATTACCCACCAAGATCTCTGCTTGATGTGCTACACCACAAATGCATGAAATCTAGCAATTGCAGCAGGGGTGGGGAATTATGGTTCACTGACAAAAGGGCGACCGACAAAAGTGCGCCCGACTAAACAGCGATGACAAAACCGCGAGTTCTAAACCGCGTCGACGAATGAGCGCTGAAGCGTGCCGACAACAGCACGCCGACAGAAGCGCGCTCTAATCCTAACCCTAACCCTGACCCTAACCCTAACCCTTACCTTAACTTAAATCGCGCTTCTGTCGGTGCACTGTTGTCGGCGCGCTGTTGGTGCGTTGATGACGTCGCGGGAATTATGACTTGTGGACTTCGACTCACAGACTTCTGGGAGTTGCAGTCCACAGGTCATAAAGGGATCATAATGTAGTTCCCCACCCCTGAATTAAGAGTACAGACGAGGAATCTGATTTTTCTTCCTCATCTGCTACTGCTGTTGAATTACAGCTCCTGGCTGAGGTGATCGCAACCAGGAAGACCACCTTGAGAATCAGGAATTGAAGGGACACCTCCCTCCAGGGCTCAAAAGGTGCCTCCGTCAGCGACTGGAGCACCGTGAGAAGGTCCCAGGTCGGGAATCGGTGAACAACAGGAGGCCTGAGATTCGCTACCCCCTTGAGAAATTGCCTTAAAACCGGGTGCTGGGACAAAGGTCGGGAGGTCACACACACCCCCAGGACAGTGGACCTGCTTCTGTGGGGCAACCCCTTCTCTAAGCCCTCTTGGAGGAAGTCTATCCCCGCCTTTCGGCACCAGGTCGCAAAAGCCACCCAGGACGCATTGTAGATGCACGTGGTGGAGCTCCTCCTGGAGGCCTCAATGGCCTTGGCGGAGAAATGGGTCCCCCTTAGCTGCTCCCGCTCGTGCGAAACGGTCAGATGGAGCCATTCCAGATCTGGGTGCTCCAGAGTCCCCTGGCGCAGAATCCTCCAATGGGGGGATGTCGACATGTCCACCAGGGGCGACCTGGCCAATAGGGAGCCACCAGAACTACCTCTGCTCTCTCTACTGCTAGCTTCCTCAGAACCCCGGGAATGAGGGGAAGGGGAGGGAAGGCATAGAGGAGGCCGGCCAGCCATCTGCAGTGAAGGGCATCTGTGTCCACTGCTCCTGGGGTTGGAAACCTTGATATGAATCTGGGCAGCTGGCTGGATCTCCTCGGAGCACGCAGCTAGGAACCACCACCCCCCCCCGCGACCGCCGGCCGCTCGGACGCTTGCGCTAGCGCAGCAGCACCGCTTGAGAGCTAGCGACTGGCGAAGCACGGGTGAGGAGAGGTGATCGATAGAATAGCTGAGTTTCTAAAAGGTAGGTCTTCAAAGTGAAGGGAGAGTCAGGAAAGTACTCCTTCTGAGCCGAAGACTGAGGTTAATCTGGGGAAAGTCAGGAGATGGAGTGGAGGTGTGGCCTCAAGATTTACCTCAGTCTCCGGGCAAAAGGCTGTGTTAATACCCAGTTGTGACTCCTCCCACGCCCCACTTCGGAGACTGCTTTGTACATATGTTCTCTTCCATCCATACACAAGCTTTCATTAAAACTCAGTTACAAAACTGACTATTTTTGTTGTGCAAGCCTAAAAGGAGAGCGGATGTTTGCTGTAGAGTAAGAACCCTGTTTGAAGTAAAATTTGTGGCATGAGGCCTAGAAGGAAGTCTCATCTTAATAAAAACAGGAAGATAAGCAATCATAGTGCAAATACAGTAAAGGAAGCCTTAGGCAGAAGTACTACTCTTACCTCCAGAATGGATTTTCGGCGTTGGGGTGTGTTGGGGTGGGGCCCAGGGCTGGCCGGGGAGCCATGAAGCATGGAATAACAGTCAGTGCAGACACGGTTCGGCCGGTTGTTGTCATACACCAAGCGGGCCCGGAACTCGGAGCATTTTCCACAAACAACCTGCAGGAGATAACTTGCCATCAGAAGGTGGTAGGCACCCAAGATCATCTAGAGGAAGTTTTAGGCCTCTTCCACCCTGGACCCTTCAACTGCTCTTCTCTCCCATACTCAGGCAGGCTGGCAAGAAAGCCTGTTCTCCAACCTTGGAACAACGCCGATCTCTCCAGACAATGGTTAAGACGGCTACTTGAAGCGGATGCCTGAATTTCCAGCTGCTGCTTCTCTTGTCACCATGCACCGGGACAGGAGTTGGATCAGTCTCCCAGATGGGCTGCCCTCTACAGATTTCAATGAGAGATTTGCCATAGTCTCCCAGTCTAAAACAACTTGGGTCGTGTGGCAAAGGTGTTACTGAGACCATCTGCTCTCTGCCCTGATTATCGGGGCAATCAGCTAATCCCCATTTCTCCTTTCCTGCCTGACACCATTTGTAGGACAAAGTGAAAACATTCTGTTGTGGCCCAGCAGAAGCCGTTGGAGCTGCCACCAGACTCCGACAGCGAGGGGCCCTATGAGTCGGC